AACGTCCAGATGGGCAAGGGTTTATTCGTTGGATGTAAGTCTCGATTGTCAAATGGGTTAATGTCAATCGCTAATCATACTGCAGTCACATTCCGCCACAAGAAGACAGCCGACGAGAACGGCAAGCCATCTAGCCCGAGAAAACCGCTCCCCATGGTTGAGGAGAACTTTGGCACGATATTCTGAGAACGTCCGTTTCGCTCTGCGTGTCGAGGCACTGGTTGCGTCGGCGCTTTCTCTCCTTCGTACATCTGTTTCTGTGTTCATCGCAGCGCCTGGAAGCTGTGAAGTCGAGACGAGCTACGAGATGCGTGCATGGTGCAGTCGCTTGCCAGGTCACACGTCGTAGTATGATTGTCACATTTGGCGTTTAGTTCGGATAGCATAGTTTATTGGGCGGGCAAGTGCGTTGCATGCATTCGAGACGTCGTGTATTAGTAGATGAGTACACGGATATGAAGGTAGTGATTACTGAGAACGCGTAATACAACCTGTCCTCAACGATGAATCAATCTAGTGGAGCCGCACGAAGTCACCTGACCGCGGGATCCTGGGCAACGCGCTAGTTGCTAGTGCCCGCCCGCGCGCCCTTTCGTCCCCTCAATCACAAAGCCCACTCCACCTTACGTCAACCCACATACGACACCACTACAATGCCCGGTCTAGTCCAGCGAGGACGAAAGCGCCCGTCGCGCGCTATCAGCGAGGATCTCGACGAATCTTCCGATGCCTCGTCCTCACATTCCACAAACGGCAAACGCGCCCGCCATGGCCGAGACGCGCCTTCCAGTTCTGCGCAGACGAACGGCGACCCGAACGGCTCGAGCGAACAGACTGAAGGCGATTTCAAAGCAGGCTCTCTCGTCAGGGTCAAGCTTGTCAATTTCGTTACATACACGGCTGCGGAGTTCCATTTAGGGCCAAGCCTAAACATGGTCATCGGCCCCAACGGCACAGGAAAGAGTACCTTGGTCTGCGCAATCTGTCTGGGTCTGGGATGGGGCAGCGAACACCTTGGAAGAGCCAAAGAGGTGGGACAATTCGTCAAACACGGCGCTGCCGAAGCCACCATCGAGATCGAGCTCGCAACGGGTCCTGGCAATGGCCCCAATCGCATTGTCAGGCGTGTCATACGCAAGCGCGACAACAAGTCTGTGTTCTTTCTTGACGGCCCACTTGTGGGGAAGAAAGATGTACAAGATATGGCCAGACAATATTCCATTCAGATCGACAACCTCTGCCAGTTTTTACCGCAAGACCGTGTAGTGGAGTTCGCGAGGATGAGCGACGTCGACCGATTACGAGAGACCCAACGCGCTGCAGCGCCTCCGCAGATGGTGAAATGGCATGACGAGTTGAAGGAATTGCGTACACAAGAACGCGCTTTGGAGACGAAGGAGAAGAACGAACGCAGCCATCTGGACATGCTGGAGAAAGCACAAACCGCAACAAAAGATGACGTAGATCGCTACCATCAACGAGAAGGCCTTTTGCGGAAGTCGAAGTGCTTGAAGTCGGTCAAGCCTATCATCGAGACGAAAATCCTCAAGACCGAGATTACTGCAGTAAAGGCAGAGATTCGAGACGCTAGACTGGAGCTCGATCAGATCAACATCGACATAGAACCAGCGCGAAGGGCTCAAGCAGAAGTCGAAACATATCAGAACGATATTGAGCAAATCGTAAACCTTCGAAAGAACCGCGTCGACATGATCAAGACACAGGCTGAAAAGCTCGCGACAAAGATTGAGACCGGCAAAGCGAAAGCGGCGGAAACTGACAATCAGATCAAAGCCGAATTGAGTTCGAAGAAAAAGCGCGCAGATGACATGGTTCGCCTCAACCGTGATATCACCAGGCTGGAAGCCCAGCGACAGGACCAACCCGCGCAATTCGACGCCGAGGCTTACGAGCAGCGCAAGTCAGATCTTCGCGACCAGATCTCTACTAACATGGGCCTCATTTCCGACAAAAGGAGTAGCATGAAAGAGCTAGCTACCCGCGCTGGTGTCGTGAAAGCCCGACACACGCAGCTGAAAGCTAATCAGGATCGGCTGAACACACAGAGCGGAAAGCAAGCCAGCCTTTTGATGAGAATTTCCCGCGAGACCGCTGCCGCATGGGAATGGATTCAAAGGAACAAATCCTCTCTGCAGTTGAAAGGTGAAGTCTTCGGGCCACCGATACTGGAATGTTCCGTCTTAGATCCCAAGTATGCTAAGGCCTTCGAGAGTCAATTGAAAAAGGGCGACCTCATTGCCATCACTTGTACCACCAACGAGGACTCGAAGATGCTGGGCAAGCGTCTGCTCAGTAACAAAGCCAACGGCGGCCAGGGACTCAGCGAAGTCTATCTTCGAACATCACTAAAGCCCCTCTCTTCGTATCAACCGCCCATGGCCAGGGCAGGCTTGGCCCAATACGGGTTTGAGGGGTATATTTTAGACTACGTCAAAGGACCCGACGAGGTCTTAGCCATGCTTTGCGAAGGTTGTAAACTGCATCAGATCGCGTATGCTGCAACACCACTATCTGATGCTGTACATAAGTTTGTGGAGGAGCAAAGCCCGATTCGTAGCTGGGTGAGTGGATCGGACACGTATCGCGTGATCTCACGCTACAACCAGTCTTCTACGTCCGTTATACCACTAAGACCAGCACAATCTTTCGTAGATCAGCCAGGCAATACGGATGAGTTGCGAGCCATCATTGAGGAACAAAAAGGGCTAGTACAAGAGGGAGAAGAGCTACGCGAGAACCACAAGATCCTCAAGGACGAAGTCAGCAAACTCGAAGGAGAGAATGAGGATTTCAAACAACAGAAGGTACATGCAACTGCCACTGGATGCAAATGCGCCAATTACTGACAATGTGGTAGGACGCTGTGCAAGCTGAGCAAGACGGCTTGAAGAAGGCTTTCGCCGAATGGGAAGCTCTACCCGACAAGATTGGTGGGTATCTTACATATGTGAGAAGGAGTCTTCGCTAACTATGTCTAGCATCGAAACAAGCCGACCTGCACAGCAAAACGCAGGAAAATGCAGAGACCACTGCCCGCATCAAAGCTATCAAAGCCGACGCTCGTGCTACACTACTGCAGGTCGCGAACCTGACACTTGAATATGCTGTAAGTCACGAACGATCGGTCACCGGAGTCCTGCTGACGATCCCACAGAAAGTTGTAACCCAAATGAGGGCATTCCACGAATCGCTTGTCGAGGCTGAGATCCGGCTCATCGAAGTCAAGTCGGAGCTTAGGGGCCTCATAAAAGAGAACAGCGCGATCCTGGACAGACAGAAAGCGCAAGAACATAAGATCAACGAGCGCACGAATCACGAGCGAGTTCTTCGGGCCAAGTACAGAGAGCTGCAAGAGGCTACGCAGAGCGACATTTACAGTCTCAGCGAAGAAGAAAGACAGATCGTCATGGAATACAAAGAGCTTCCCACACTCGAAGCCTTGGAGCTAGAGGTTCAGTCGGTCAATGCCCGGCTGGAGATGATGGCCGAAGGTAATCCTGGGGCGATCAGGGCCTATCAGAAGCGGGCGGGTGACATCGAGAAAACGCGTGAGAACCTGGAACAGTACGCTGCCAGTCTCGAAGAGATCAAAGAGAACATCACAAACATCCGCCAGAAGTGGGAGCCCGAACTTGACGTTCTCATTCGCAGGATCAGCGGGGCTTTCGCACACAACTTCGAGCAAATTGGATGCGCTGGTGAAGTCCAGGTGAACAAAGACGAAAACGACTTTGACAACTGGTCCGTCCAGATTTCAGTCCGTTTCCGGTAAGCTCAGACTATCGTGCTCATACGCAAACCTAGCTAATGATCCCAACAGAGAGAACGAGCCGCTCAGCGTATTGAACTCTCACCGCCAGTCCGGTGGCGAGCGCGCCGTGTCAACAATCTTCTACCTAATGGCATTACAAGACCTTGCCCAGTCACCATTCCGCGTCGTCGACGAAATCAACCAGGGTATGGATCCCCGCAACGAACGCATGGTACACGAGCGCATGGTGGATATTGCATGCCAAGAGAACACGAGTCAATACTTCCTCGTCACCCCCAAACTTCTGCCTGGTCTCAAGTACCACGAGAAGATGAAGGTACATGTCATCAACTCTGGAGAGCACATTCCAGTTGCACAGGGCGTTCAGGGTGAGTGGAACTTGTCCAGTATGGCTGAGATTGCATTGCGAGTGAGGAGGAGCGTTGCAGTTGCATGAGAACTGGAATCGCGTGGCGCAGACCATTACGATACGTGCGCGGGTGGGATGAACAAGAGTACGAATACCACGGCAGTCTAGTGTCGTTCATGGTTTGATATGTCTCACAGCGGATGTGTTTGGTAACAGCGTTGAGCAACCGCCATGCAGGTACGACGGACAGCAGTCAGCGACATTTACTGTACATCGAATGTTCTCAATCCTTCTTATCAGCGCTATTCTGTAGCGCGCGCAGGATATATATTGAGGTACCCGTATCCGTACATGTGCATGCAACCGTTTCCTTGGATACATCGTGTTTGTGCGACCGCTAAAACGACTAAGCGTCCCTGTGTGCGACACCAACAGTTCAGGAATGCGTGTACCAGTTTGTTGAGCCGACTCTACTCGGGACCGATGCATTATACGAGCCTTTGAGCTGAAAGGCTGATGAGTTTCTCGTATGATACCTGGTATGCTGGCGCTGCTTACATGTATTATAGGCTGGGATGGGGCTATGGTTCGATGCACTTCGTACCAGGGTCACGTCATGGCGCAGGATTACCTGGGTAAGGTTGCATTGTGGCGAGCAAACTTAAGGGCGTTGAACCAACGAAGGAATGTGCGTTGGAGGTTGGAGAGGTATATATCAGCCGTGGGTGCGGGCTTGTGATGCTGGACATTCAAGTTCCATCGCTCTCGATATCGCTCAACTCAGCCTGGACCAAATTTTCACACCCAAGACAAAAGTACTGATATCAAACATCGTTACCATCGACCAGAATCCGCACCATGATATTCCCCACTCCCTTCCTAGCATTCCTCCCCCTCCTCATCTCCCTCACCACCGCCCTCCCCACTAACCTTCACCACCCCCTCCACGCCCGCGACACCTCCCTCGCCGCCGCAGAAACATGGCACATCACCCGCCTAGACATGCACATGATGACCACCAGCACCGGCATCCCCGGCAACGGCCCTTGGCCCGAAGGCTCAAAGTTCGATTCCACGATCGACTTCGACGTGCTGGTGCCAGAGAAAGCCCCACTACCAGCGTCGAAGTGGAACTGCAAGGGTACGATGAAGAATGGGACTATTATTGAGGATGTTGTGGGCTGTGTGGATGAGAAGGGGAATGTGGGTGATGTGTCGTTTGGGATGACGGGGTATGAGGCGGTGGGGGAGAGGAGGGCCGAGTTGAGTTTTTGGTTGTGGGTTTATAGGGTTGGGTATGTTTGTTCCCTGCCACTTTATTGTTTGGATGCGAGACTATCGTATGGTGTACTTGCGCTAATGCTTTCGTTCATGAATACAGGGGAGGTAGCGATGGTCGCGCTACCATACTTGACGGCGCAACGGCGATCACCGCGAACGACCCACAGGAACCGACTAGCTACCTTACGTGCCTTCTTGGCAGACCCTTTGATGGGCTGAGATGCCAGATTGGGAGTTATCTTAGTGTGAGGAAGGAGCTTGTTGTTGAAGGGTCGGAGGTGCGTTGAGTTCATGCTGAGATGAGGGGAGGATGAACGACAAGACTGCAGTGTCGCGACAGATATTCGTTGGTCATGTAAGCTGTTAATGATGATTTCGATTGAGAATTAATGCAGCAAACTGTTGTTATGAAGTTTATGTTACACAGCATGTGTGTTGTGCGTCGCGTGGCGGGAGGGGCGTGTTTCAGCATCTCATCATCTTGTCTTCACATTCATGACTTGAACCGACTAACTATGGGAATAAAGCTGTCATTTGTGATCGTTGTCGTTAACATGCGGCTTTACAAGTAGGATAACAACCTCCTTGCATCGGATTAGTGCTCTCATTGCCACTGCTACGATGGATGGAAAGTACTTGCCGTAATGGGGCTGCGAAATCGACCTGGCGAGATTGCTGCGTTGAGGTGCTACTGCAGATACACTACTGCAGCCAGACACGACAAGATAGTTGTGATTGTTTTGGTCGAGCGCTATCTCGCCGCTTCCCACTCTGCTTGTCAATATCCTCTTGGTTCAATTTCTACGCGCTTCGGTCTTGTCAATCACATTGCACTTTGGAGTCACGATTGCTGAATGCGGGCACGAAAATGAGGTTTATGTATGCGATGTCGGTTAACGATCAGGCTGGTACCGGAAATGAGGACGCTGATTGCACGGTACGTGTTGTTTAGATGCTGTTGTCACCTTGGTATATGCGACTGATGGAGTTGATCAGACCTGCTCTTCTGAAGCCCGGCCGACAATGACTGGCGCTGCGCTGGCACGGTATCCAACCGTTACATCACGATCTTCAGTAGCTGGAGCCACACCAGATGACAACATCCCATCTGCTCAAGCCTTACACCAAGATGTCTCGTCCATGCTGCCTGCTCCCTCAACGGAAACACCTGGATCGACCTCTCAGCTCAGCACCCCGGTTAAGGCGGGCATCATCGCTGCCTCGATCGTCGTGTTCCTACTCGTGCTCCTACTGGTACTCGAGTACACCTATCTACGCCGCAAGCGCCACGACCGCGCACTCCAACAAGCAATCGACGAGGTAGAACGAGGGACTGAGCTGAAGAGGATAACAGAGAGTGAAAGCAAAGAGAAAATGGTTTTGGAGAGTAGGGTCGAGATTGTTGAGGATGATGAAGGACAGGATAGTGTGAGGGGTAGCTGGGATGGTGAGGGTCCATGGGATACAGGTACACACGACGAAGATGACCATGGAGACTTGAGTGAATGGGGAAGAGGGCGAAGGCGAGATGTTGGGCGGAATGGAATGAGCCTTCCGCGAAGAGGACGTTAGTGTCGGAGCCGTGGCAACGACACAGTGGCTGACGTCGCAAGGATCTTGTCTCCTATTAGTCCCCGATCTTTGCGGTATCAAGCCTTCGAGTATGCCTTGCTTGTCGAGGCTTCGTATGTCTTAGTGTGTTCCGGTGAGACTTCGCGCAATGGGATAACCTTTCCTAGTCTGTTTTCCAAAAAGCAAGGCTAGAAAGCAGTGTTGTTAGGTGCCCTACTCAATAAGTTACTATAGCACATAAATCTTACACAAGGGCAACATTGCAAACTCGAGTGTGTATATCACATTGAAGACTTACGAAATGCTGCTGCTCTGCTACTATCGGGGGGCAGATCGGGTTTGTGGCTGCCCTCTTGTATAGCATATTCTACTTGCGATTTCTCTCATTCGTGAGAGTATCTTTTCGTCAAGCACTCTTGTATAGAGTGTGTAACTAGGTATACTAATTTGCGACTCACATCTAGCCCCATCGCTTGCAGGCTAGGTATGCTGTCGAAGTACCGGCATATATGCCCCACTCAGAAATTCGACCACTGAGGCAGTCGCTTACATAACTTTCTAACCACTCACACTTAGTAATACAGTTCAGCTTAGGTGACCCAAGGTAAGCATTCTTGGGATATAATAGATAGGACAAATATGACAGGTGAGATGTCGTAATCAGCATACCGCGCTTATCGTCAGAACGAAGCGCCGTGGGGCGGCTGTTCTCTTCAGGCAACAACATCCAGCCTGGGCAGTATATAAGGCCTGCCGTATAGCCGCTCCCGATATTTCTCCTTTTTCTGTACCTGCCATCCACTATTGCATCACACCAATATCACCAATGTCGGCCGCCATAGACAATACGGTGTACGTCGTCACCGGAGCAAACCGAGGTCTTGGTCTTGGCTTTGTGCAATCGCTTCTTACGCGTCCTCAACACACGGTGGTCGCCACAGTCCGTAGCGAGCAAGCCAAACATGTCTTGGAAGACGAGATCAAGAGCATATCGAAAGGGACTGGCAGCAAGCTGGAGGTCATACAGTACGACTTCTCCACGGCTATCGATCCCAAAGAGGTGGAAAGCAAGTTCGCCAAATTGGGATTTCAGCATATCGACGTTCTATTGCTTAACGCTGGAGGCGCACAGCCAATGGTCCCACCAAGCGAGACCACAGCCAAAGACCTGCGCGCAGCATTTGAGACCAACACTATCGCACCTCTGCTCGTATTCCAGGGTCTGAAGCAGTATTTGCTGAGAGCCAACTCCATTCCCAAGCTCATCTGGGTTACCTCTTCGGTCGGAAGCATCGCGGACATGGACCCGTTTGGCGGCGGCGCCTATGGTCCCAGCCGAGCGGCACAGAACTGGCTAGCGCGCTCCATCCATCTCGAATATAACGGCACAAAGGGGAATACGCGTTTGATTGTCATTCCCTTGCATCCTGGATGGGTCCAAACGCGAGCGGGCCAGTTTGTCGTGGATCAGTGGCAGTCGGCGCTCAAAGCCATCAACTACGAGATTGAGAACCCGCCGACAACGCTAGAAGAGAGCGTCTGTGGTATGATCAAAGTCATTGACAATGCGACGGCAGAATATTCAGGCCAGTTCCTAACGTATGAAGGCAAGATGCTGCCGTGGTAAATCAGCGATAGTAGAGAAGCTTATACTTTCACGCACTTATCGCGCGCAAAAGTGTTAACATGTATATAAGAGCTATAGTATTAGAAATTTAAAATCTTAGTCACTAGAATTATAGTATAAAGTATAAGCTTAAGAGATATCTAAGATCTTTTTAAATTAAAGTTTTTAATATACTAGTCATTAATCTTATATTTTATGAGATAGCTTTTACTTTAATTAAACTAGTATACTAAGAAGAGATAGCTTTATGCAAGAATAAATAAAGAATAATAAATATTATATTTATATTCATAAAGAGCTATAAAATTAATACTTTAAGTTTAATGTAAAGTAATTTTTATAGTATCTTTAAGTTTAGAACTAAGTTTTTAATAGATATATTACATTCTTAAGCTTTACTAAGTAACTTTTTTATACTAAAATATTCTATTAAAAGTTAAATAAAAAATTTATTAAAAATTCTTTTTTAGTGCCTTAAGCCTAATTTAGTATTTTCTTCATAGTAAAATAATATTAAAAGATATTAAAAGACGTTAAAAGACTTTAAGCTAGTTTCTCTTAGAACTACTAAATAATTTAAAAATTAATTTAGAATATATTGCTAAAATAACGTAGTTATTTCTAATTTTAGCTTTATAATAAAGCTAAAAACCTATAAACTAACTCTATACTTGTCTATATAACTTTCTTTATATTATAACTAGAAATAATTAAGATAATATATAGTAATAGGTATACTACTAATAGAACTAGCTATATTTATTCTCTATTAACCTTAACGCAACGCTATATTAACTATCTAGTAACTAGTAAAGATAACTATTATAGCCTCTATCTACTTAACTATAGTAATACTTAAAAAACTATCTATAAATACCTTCTTATCTTTATCTAATTCTTTATTAAGATAACTAAGAATTCTTTTTAAAGTACTAATCTATAAAACTATAGTATTATAGATAAGCTTAGAGAGAGGTTCTATAGTTAGTACTAGTCTATATATTAAGATATAAACAAAAATAGCTTAGGCCTCTAGCCTATCTATAGTAATAAAATTAATCTAATTTATATTAATAATAAGCTTAGGTTAGTAGAAGAACTTATATATATTAGTATTAAAGGGTTTCTTAAAAGTAAGGCTAATAGAAGAGATAATTAATAGCCTTACTCTAGGCAAATATATATATAAGATAGTAGTAATAAAAGCTTTAATAGTGTTAATAAAGTAGCTTTTTATATATTTTAGAAGGCTTCTTAGAGCGCCTAAAACGCTAGTTATTATATTATAGATAATATTTTATTCTATAGCTACTAGAATAGTCTTTAAAATAGCCTTTTTAAAAGTCTCTTTTCTAGTAGATATAGAGTAGCTTATAGCAGCTTTATAAGAGTGATATAATTTAGAGAAAAGTAATTAAAAAATAAAAAAACAATTTAGTTAAGTATTAGTAAGGTAGTAAGATAACGTAACTAGTAAGAGATTAGCTTTATTCTTATAAGCGCTAAGAAGACTTATAAATTATTTAACTAGTATAGTATTTAGTATTAGATTAGAGCTACTTATATCTTTAATCTTTAAAGTTTTTATTATAATTATTATTATAGAAATATAAAGAATAGAAAAAGCGTACTTTTACTAAGAGAGATTTTAGTATATATATTCTAACTATAAAGCTTTAAAATATATTACTCTATTAGTTATAAGCTAATAAGCGTATATAATTATATTATAGTTCTTTTATAGAGTATTTAGTATTTATAGAATAGCTCTTTAGCTAGCCTAAAAATTTAGAAGCTTTAACTACTTTAGAGGTAGTAGCGCTAAGGCTCTAAGCCTTAGCTTACTTAACGCTATACTTTTAAGAGTAGATAAAACTTTTAGTTATATATTCTTTAGAGTACTAGTAATAGTTTTTACCTCTTTAGAATTAGTAACTCTTTAAGCTATAAGTATTACTACTTAAGATTTAAATTTCTACTTAATAAAAAATTCTTTTTAGAATATTATATATATAGTTTTTCTATAGTTTTTATAGTCTATTTTATTATTCTTAAAACTTCTACTAATCTATTTAATTTAATAGTCTACTTTACCTAGAATATAATATATATTAAAATAGTTACTAGTTATAGTAAATATGTATTCTATTAAAGTATATAAGACAAGTAGATTTTACTATTATTATCTACTAAAACTTAGCTAATATTTTACTTCTAATAGCTTTATAACTATAATATAGTATCTTTTCTTAATCTTAAATATTAAGAATATATACTATTTAGTTACTAAAGCTCTAAATAGTACTAATATTTCTTAGAGTTTTTCTTTAAATTTACTAATAATTAACTACTTTTAGAAAATGTTTTTACTATAATTATGTATTTTACTACTTTTTAATATCAATCAAGATAAGAAAGTTAAGGCTATATTAGAGCTATATAAAAAAAGAAGTATAGTTACTTCTTATAGTATACTTTATATTAATGAGTTATAAAAAGGTACTATAGAACTAAAGTATAGTAAGTAAGAATAGATTATCTCTAGTAAGTAAAGAGTATAATCTTAATTATAGTAGTATTATAGTTAGAATAGAGCTATTCAAAGTATAAAGAGTATTTTCTATTTTTTAGTTACTTCTTACCTAGCTTAAAATAGAGATAATATTCTATTTATAGTTAATAGAGAAAGTATTTTATAGTTCTATTAGTAGTATTTAGTTTACTATGTAGTAAACTTTCTTATACTTTATATAAACTTCAAACTTAGATAAATAAGTATAGAGTAAGTTTATAACCTAGTAATTATTATGTTTTTATTCTAAGTATATACTAAATTAGCATTAATATAATTTTAGAAGATTTAGAAAACAATAGCTTAAAGCTTTTTCTATCTTTTAATATTAGTTTTCTAAATATTCTATAGATTTTCTAAGTTACTAATTATATTCTAGAGTTATAAGAGAAAATATTAAAAAAAGACAAGAATGAGAAATATACACTTCTACTAAGATTTATTTTAATATCTTATAACTATAAAGTAAAATTATATAATAAGTATATTTACTTATAGTATAGTTTCTTTTTAAAATGTAGTATAAAAGTTTTTAAAGATAGACTTTAGTATTAGAGTAGCTATAAAGTAAGTTAAATTTTATATACTTAAACTCTTTAATAAGTAATAGTATAAAGTTTTTAACTTTTAGCTTATTTAATATCTAATATTTTAATGTATACTAAAATCTTACTTCTATTTTCTTTAATATACTAGTAATAAACTTTATCTATTTAGAACTAGCTATAAGACTATAAAACTTCTAGTTTAAAATAAAAAGTTATAGGTAGTTAAATGAAATAATAGTTTTTTTTCAAGTAGTGTATAGTAAAAGTAAAAGTTTTAGATTATAAAACTTATCTTTTTAAAGCTAAGCTTTAGAAATTAAACACTATTTTAGATATACTATAGATAACTTTACTTTTATTACTAGTTTTCTATTAAAATATAGTATTAAGTCTCTTAGTAATCTATTTATTCTATAGCCTATAAGCTAGTTCTAAATTAGTAAAATCTATTACTAGTATACTATAGAACGTAAAACTAAAGGTTTTACCTACTCTTAAAGATAGATAGACTAAGACTTAGAGCTCTAGCGCTATAGTCTCTAAAGTAGTTAAAGGTTCTAAATCTTTTAGACTAGCTAAAAAGCTATTCTAATATTAAATACCTTATAAAAAAGTTATAATATAGTTATATATACTTATTAGCTTATTACTAATAGAATAATATATCTAAACTTTTATAGATAGAATATATTTACTAAAATTTTAGTAAAAGTATAATTCTTCTATTTATTGTATTTTTATAATAATAATATTTAGTACTCTAGAGATTTAAATATATAAGAAACTTATCTTTAATACTAAACACTAAATAACTATATTTACACGTACTTCTTAATAATTTATAACTCTTTTAGATAGTTATAAGTTTATATAAAACTAATCTCTTACTATTTATATTACTTTACTACTTTACTAAGAAGCGTTATTAAGTAACTTTATTCTTACTATCTTAATTACTTTTACATAGCTTAATTACTATTATAAAGGTTCTATAAATTACTCTATATTTACTATAAATAAATGAGAAACTATTAGAAAGGCGATTTTAAGAGCTATTCTAGTTACTATAAAATAAAATACTATCTACATTATAAGAGATATAATTTAGATCTTCTACTTTATATATATATATATTCTAGAGCTATTTCTATTTCAATTAAGATTTCTATTAGTAATTATGTTATTTACAAAAGTTATCTAGGTAAAGTAAAACTTTCGATTATTTTTTCTTTTATTCTTATTCTTAAAAAGCTTACTAAAGAGATATATAATATCTTTTATAAGTACTATTCTTTCATTTCTAGAAGCTATATAAAAAGTTATTCTATTAGTAAGTTAACTAAAAAATAGCCATAAATTATAATTACTATTTTTATCTATAATTTTATACATAAAGTAAGGCTAAGAAGAAAGTCTTTATTATCTATAGTTATAGAGTAGACTATACTCTAGTAATATAGTATTATTTCTAAGATTCTTAGTATAGATAACAAGAAATAAAAGATACAAAATTTAGTATTTATAAATTATCTTTTCTTACTTAATAATACTACTAAGATAAACACTATAGTTATATATTATAGTTATCTTAAACAACACCTATTAGTAGTTATTATATTAATATTACTAGATAATAAAGATAAAGTTATAGTTAATAGAAGATAGAGCTTTTAATCTAAACTCTTTAGTCTACGTTAGAATTATCTACTTATATACGCCTACTTAATATAGCTCTAGAGCTCTTAAGCTTATTAAGACTATATAACGCCTTAGACGTCTACTACTTTAGGTAGCTATTTAGCTAGTACCTTTATAATATACTTATCGCTATCTACTATATATCTATTTTATATACTACTTTATATACTATATAATATGTA